CGCTGGGGTGCATGACTCTCACACCCCAGCCACCACTAAAGTCATAATTCCCTAAATAGAGTTTTTCAATTATTTTTTTGCATAGCAAAACAAAAAGCAGCTTTCTTGTCTCAAAAGTTATTAAAATCGAAAGCACTTCACAAAAAAAACGCTTAGTAGTGGCATGGGAAGACACTTGTTTTTCTAACCTGGAAACCTGGGGCCGAATTCTCGTCCAAGGAAGTAGAGCTCTTCGATAGAACGAATGTTTTGTCTTTGTCAACGTAATCGAAAAGTAAATGAGAATGATAAAGACGAACTTTACTCCCTGGCCCAAGAATCGGCCCTTTAGGTGGTTGCGAAGAAAATCTGTGTAGCAGTCAATAGCAAGCAGATACTAAATTAATTCTTCACGGAATACAAACCTCAAGAAAGTATTCCTCTAAAAGTACTGATGAATCATTAACTATTTGTTCACCAGACACTGACTTTTTCTCTTGGTACTAAAATATTACAAAAATTTAATTCCAAATGTTTATTTCCAAACTGGAACTGGTACAAAAGTAAACGAACAATCTATATTCCTGAGATATCCGAAAAGTTGATAAAACTTCAGAGATATGCTTTTTTTTCAGTCCATGCATTTTCTCGGTTTGATACAACCGGAGGATTCGCAGAAAAGGGTAAAATTGTAAAATTAACGCGGATTATTAATTTGCACCTCAGCTGACACCATATTAAATTTAATATATTGTGCATGCAAGAAAACTCAGTGCAAAACTCATCGGTATAATTGTAGGTATTCTAAACAATCTTAAATCCACAGTGCTATGCAACTGTAATGTTGAAGAACAATTGTGTAACAACTGTGATTCGAAAGATGTAATATTGTCTGGCTCTAATACTAATGATGATGATGATGATGACGACGACGACATACAAATATAATCATCTATTGATCACATTATGTTATTTTTTGAATTTAATTAAAGACAAAAGGTACTCATTTTATTTGTTTCTTTTTACATTTTTTATATTCCGAGATACAGTACACAAACACATTATTTTTTCAAAATTATCTTTTTTGAACTAGTATTTTCTGAAAAAGAGAATAATTATTTGGTGTTTATTTGTAACAAACATATACACACAAAAAATAGTGTTTACCCCTCACTTTTACTGAGATTTTTCAGAGAAGGGTTACATATTCTGATTTCGGGGTGGCAAGAACCCGTTTTGTATTGCTTTAATCACAAACCTGCCACGGAAATGCCCTATGCGCCCCTACCATCAATAGAATACAATCTATATTATAATGGTAGTTTACCTCAATAAATTGGATACTTTTGAAATCAGGGGGAAAAGACCTTCCATAATATCAAAAATACACAGAGTGTGTATGTAATGTATGGTGTGTAATGTAAGTTGTACTTGTTTCGCTCTTTATGATGGCCGATTTTTTGTCTCAAAAGATAATACCTAAGAATCGCTACAACTTGGCTAGTTCGATCTTGGGAACATGTAATATAAGAGCCACGCTTTATTTACAGGTGAATGTCTGTTAGGTTTGCATCTACATGCTTGAAAGGTGAGCAGGTACGCGTTTTTAGAGCATCTGAAATAAGAAAGCAGCTCCAGCATACAAATTCACAGATACAGAGAAGATACAATCAAGTTGGGGGCAGGAGTTTCATCTGGCCGTATAGAAACGATCTTGTTTTACTAAATCGTTGATTGATACTATTTCTGCTATAAAGCAACCAGGGATTTACTCAAACAAGAGATCTTTCCGTTTTAGACTGGCCAGCTTAATATCCCTGAATTACCACCCCTTCGGGATGCTTGGGACATGCTTAGCTCTCCGGTGTTCTCCAGGGATCACACATAGGTCCAATACTATTCCTCCTATTCGTCAATGATGTAGCCAGCTGCTTCCACAACGCTCAGTTTCTTCTGTACCTTAATTTTTTTTCGAACACGGGTCCACATTCGTTCAAGCGAATTTGGACCAGCTTGTTGCATGATGCAGCAACTTTTTGGAATTGAAAGTCAAGAAGTGTAAGTCAATGTAATTTTTCAAGAACAGGACTGTCCAGCCTTTTTGCCACACCACCGAAAACCAGATAATTGAACATGTTGACGTTTACAATGATTTTGGAGTGATCTTTGACAGTAAATCAACTTTTGAGAACCACATTGAAAATATTGTTAACAGAGGGTTTAGGATGCTGGGCTTTGTGAAGCGTAACACGAAGCATCTACATAATACCCAGGCTCTTCACACTTTTTTCAACTGGTCTGGTGCTCAGCATCCTCGAATACTGCATCATGATCTGGTCTCCTTTTTACCACTGTCACAAACAACGGATTGAAAAAGTTCAGGCAAAATTTGCTAAATACCTCCTGTAAAAACATCACTTTCCCTATCAAAACGTCGACCACGGCATTAGGCTCCTCCTGTGTGGCCTGGGGCTTTATTCTCGAAACAGGGGCGCAGCGTTCTCATGAGAACGAAGGCTCTGTCTTCGTCGTCCCTATTCATATTTCCATAGCACTGACAATGACAGAGCAATCGTTCTCATAAGAACGCTGTTCCTCGGTTTCGAGAATAAGGTCCCTGAAATCAAAGACGGCGTGATCAGCTGCTACTGTTTCTTTATAAGCTGGTCCGGGGGATAATAACCTGTAGTCCTCTGCTTTCCGAAATCAGTTTTCGTGCCAATTCGACAAACCAGGCAAACCCAGCTCTTTTTTGAGGCCACTCATCGAACAAATTATGGCTAAAGTGCATTTATTGACCGCATGACGAGCAACTACAATGACCACTATGCAGCAATCGAGTTGTTCTCAGCTACTCTCCACACGCTGGGACGTTAGTTGTAGACATTCATTTTAGTTTTTAATTTATTTTAGTTCGCTGATCTCTATGCTTTGAGTTCATTGTTCTCATTGTTTGTGTTAGTTCATATGTGTTTTTAACATTGACGTAGTTTCAAGTTTAATTTTCATTTTTGTAGAGCTTTTTATTATTACTTTAAATCTGCCATTTGGAGTTTAACTCTGTAGTGTGTCACGTTCAATAAAAAAAAAACAATAGTTATTTGAAATCAGAACCAAATAAAGTTATTTCTAGCAATTAAGCAATCCTCTTGAAGTAAAATTCGTCAGGCGCTTGAATCTCGAAACGAAAGAGGAGCAAGCTGAGGAGAATCACTTTCCAGAAATATTTGGATAACCTGAACCTGATCCTGACTATGGAAATGCGGTCCGTACATTTTTGCTCAACGAATACGCACTTTAATATAGGTGCCTACTAAACAATTTTTTGTTTCCTTTGATCCCGGTTTATCTTTCTTCAGATAAACTTGCTGGTTACTATATGCAAGATAAATTCACCGTTCTCTAACTCTATTCGTCGGCGAATAACTGGCCGACCCAATGGAATTACAGATTGCATTTATAGCCGTCAGATTGCGTACTTGACAGTTTACCAGAAGTTGAATAAACCGCCCCTCAGGGACCTCGCGAAGTCCCTGAAAATTGTCGTCAGATGTGGGGTAATAAACGAGACAATCGATGGATTAATTAGAACTAAATAATTGTGAAATAATAATAAAAAAAAGATAACTAGAGTTAATTAGGAAGATATTGGGTGAGACAATTAATACCTACTAGTAATTTGAGATAATTAAACAACGATGAGAGAACTTATTATGTTGAACTGAAATGCCGACTTCATTACTGGTTTTGATATAGAAAAGCAAGTTCACATCGTGTTCTTTTTGAGAATTAGGCAAGGTACGGGAATTTTCTTCGCCACCGGAACAAGTTTCGAGTATTTTATGGTAAATACGCGACAGCGAACAGCAGGAATGTTGCTGGAACAAACCCGAAAGAAGAGGAAAACCGAAGACGGAAATAAGTGCAAGAACAGGAAGTGAGAAGACAAGAAGAAGAGTAAACGACTCAAACAAAGTCGGATAAAGTCCTGGAAGGGTAAGATAAACAATAATAATATTGGAAATTGGAAGGATCACCAAATGTAAACATTGCGGAAGAAGAAGACATTGTAAATGTGCCTGTATGAGATATCGCCTTCTTCTGGCGACAATCAGCTTTCAGTGGAGAAGTTGCAACAGTATCTACGATTTTTGATTTATTTTATTTCCAATTACCAATTACCTACTTGAAAATATGAAAGTATTACTTTTGCTACATTTGAGCAGGATCATTGATTTTAGAAAATAAGTAAGTAATAAAGACCCCAGTTCGCTGCATCGACACCAATTTTATTCCGCTTTTTTTTTCTGAGAAAAACATTTAAATTTTTTGTCTTTCGTGACTATTATTCAAATCATTATCGTTAAATCAATAATTTGAAACGGTATATACCTTTTATGCTCTAATCCAAGAGATTTTTTATTAATTTTCATCAACCCATTTTCTCGACAGGGCAATTAAGCCCAAACATTATGCCAATTGAAAATTTATTTTGTTTATAATATTTTTGCAGTTTTTTTGCAACATAGGAAAGTGTACTCCAAGTAGGTACATATTCGTTTTATTGAACAACACTTTCTAAGTCCTACTTGATATTTAGGTGAAATTTGTAGGTTTCAAACTCTAAAACTTCAACTAAACGATTTGCTCTGAAAAGTTTTCAATTTGTATCTCTTGTCTAATACTTAAGCATCACAAATTGAGAAATTTCATATAATAATACCGAGAACAATACTAATATGATTTAGAAGAAATATCACAAAGTTTTATTACCTCACACGCTACAATTTTCATTTCAGTGTAAGCAATTTATTTTCTTCTTATTCTTTTGAGGTAATACCTAACTAGCTTTAATATTTTCAAAATATATGTAAGTATAATCGAAAACTCTAGATAGGTACATGTCTTTATTTCCAAAGTCAAGTTGAAAGAATTATCATTTTTTTGGCATTCATAAAATTCCAACAATTCCAACTATGAAACCGCGTGACTAGGTATACAAAGTCTTATGAACTTCTTACCTTCAGTAGCCAACAAGGTCACCAATAATCCAACATAGGCAGTCACTACAACAGTCCGTGGAATCCGAATTGACCCCATTTTTAAAACGTCAATAATGAGAATCTTTCATTTAACTTTCCACAATTTTTTGGATTTGTTCGATACACAGCACTTTTCTTTCTGGAAAATGATTTACTAGGCAGTCCTACTCAATAATTCTTCAACGTAAGAATTATTATTAGAAAACGTCTTCTAGCGGCTGAAGAAAAGTTACGCCTTGCCGGGCGCGTAACGCGAACGAAGAACCTGCAGCACAGTAATCTAACTGTGTTCGAATTAATTACACAACAAATTAATAACTAATTGCACACAAAATTAACACAATACGCCACGAGATAACTTTTCAACTAAAAAAGAATACATCATTGGTTATTTAGGTCATCTTCATTCCGCAGACCGGACTTCAGGTCATTTAGTTTCTAAGAAGAAAATATAGGTGTTAAGTCTACACATTATTTTGGGAATTTTAACATTAAAATCACTAAATATTGGTTGAAAACACTAGAAAACCGGATTTAAGTTAAAAATTCGTTTAAAAAAAAAACACTAAAGAGTACCACGACAATGATGCTTTCTAGTAGCAAGCAGACTGTGCATATAACGGAACCAACTCGAAGACGTACCTACGCAGACATGTTAGTCGCGGTTGTACCTATTCCGACTTCTTCTGCTGTTACAGGTGGGGTTCCTGCTGGTTGCTACTTACTTCATCGGTTCTTGTATGGGTTATTGTACGAGGTTGCGTTAGAAAATAAAAGTCACATTCAGTTTGTTTCGAAATACCTCATGGTAAGATGAAAATTAAGCCGGTAAAATGGTTCGGAAAAATTGAAAACGGTATAAGTGATGGTTTTCAAAAGCTCAGAAGATTAAAGAATAAGGGCATGATACAGGCTAAAAGGTCGTTTTCTTCTTATTATATTTTTGAGAGACTTTGCGTATTCCAGTTGATCCTACTGCTGGAAGCAACCCGAACACTAAACATTGGAAATAGTTTAAAAGTTTAATTTTTTTTCCTCAAATTTGCTTTAAAATCACTCAAACTCTCTGAAAACTCAAGAAATGTCTAGGTATATTGAAGCTTCATGCTTTTCTCGAAAATATCAATTGAACGAAGAGACGGTTGGACATCACTATTATTGACGTCGTTGGTTCTGTGAAATTTTTGGGCCTTATTTTAGAAAACTGATAACTTCCTGAAATGGAGCTCACACTCGATTCTTTATCCAAATAATTAAGTTCCGCTTATTTTGTGATAGAACAATATTTTGCCCTTTTCGAATCGCATCTTTGATATTACGCGCCCTTGCGTGACTCAATTTGAACGTATCTTGAAACTACAAAAAAGTGCTATTCGATATTCTCCAAAATTAAAGAATAGAACGCACTGTCAAGATTTTTTCAAAAAATCTAAAATATTAACACTCCCATCACTTCCTTTCCTATTCATATTAGAATCAATCTGCTTAATCCGCAAAGCCCTATCCAGTATTTCAGAAAGTCCATTTTATAACTATTCACTTAGAAATGCGAAGCATGATCTTTATTTTCCAACCCCATCCTCCGAGTTAGTTAAGATTTGGTTAAGATCTCCATTCGGAGATCCATTGAATCTCTTCCTAAAATCTACCACAGCTCTAAAATCATATTTATTAAAGAGAGCCTTATATGAAGTAAATTACTTTTTTTGAACACATAATTTTGAGCGTTCCATCAATGTATGGAATCATTGCTTACAGTTAATTTCATTATTATTATTACATAGAATGATCTTAAATATCATACGGAAGGAGGTGATTCTTTGGTTTATTTTATGACTAAAATTTCTGATAAACATAGGTCCGTAAACACTTTGTTACCGATCTACAGGTTGGGGAAATTTTATTATATTGTTAGTTTTTTCTTTATAGCTTCTGCAATTTTTGAGGGATTTAGCTCAAATTTGGAACCTATAGGTGTAGGTTACGCAATAGGAGCTAAATAATTGCACATGTCAAACGTTTGCCAGAATCTACAGGGTGATGTGTTTACAGTGGCCTGCCCCTGAACTTTTTTGTAGTGCGCCGCTGGTAGATTCTAAAAAACAAAATAATGTTTCGACCTTATTTTGAAACTTTTTGTTTTCTTGTAGTTTTTTCGAATCACCGACCCTTATCGAGAAAAAAATTAAATAACAAATCTCTATAATTAGCTAGATGAAACTACAGTGGCCTCGACAGTGGCTCAATGAACCATTTCTACCTACAGTGGCGATAATAGAGGTCCCGCCGCCATATTCTTGCTCATTTTGAATCGAAATATACAGTGTGTCCACTTAAGTTCGCAGTATATGGGAAACTTTTTTATTATCAATTTTACGAAAAAAAGTTATTCTTTATAAAAGTTTCTGCTTCTTGAAAAAATAGGTAGTATTAAACTAATAAAACTTGGAATAGCATGTACAGGGTGGTCAGAAAATAGAAAAATATACAAAATTTTTTGGTGAAAAACGTTGAAAGTAGAAAAAAAATGGCACGTCACTATTTTTTAAAACCTTTGATATTTTTTTCAGATTCAGCAAGTCATATTACAGTCAAAAAATACCTTTCGTTATCACAAACAGACCTTCCAAATTTGAAAAATAATTGTAAAATGGATTTTTGAACTAAAAAAACGATTTTTTCTAAAACTTTGACACCCTGTATTATGGAAACTTGTTCGTAAAATATTGTAAGGAATCACATCCTGGAGTTAAGAACCGTACTTAGGAAACACCCTGTATATTTTTCTATTTTTTACCACCCTGTACATGCTATTTCAAGTTTTAGTACTTTAATAACTTTTTTTCGTAAAATTAATAATAAAAAAGTTTCCCATATTCTGCGAACTTAAGTGGACACACTGTAGAAGTAAGGCATGCCTTCGCCGCCATATTCTTGCTAATTTTCAATATGAATATTTATATAAAATTTCAACATCCTGTGGTAACAAAGCGTTTGCGGACCTATTTTTATTAGAAATTTTATTCATAAAATAAAGCAAAGAATCACCCCTTTCCGGTTGTACATGATATTTAGGAACACCCTGTTTAATCTGATCCATCGAAATATTTTTTGTCGGGATTCCAGATCACTTTCGAAAAGGTAGATAGGTACCGTTAAACATTGAAATTCTCTCGGCACGTTATAGTCGCCTTGAGCTGTGTCCACACCAAAGAAACACAGAGGAACATTTTGTTGCTGGTTGCCGCAACCAGTTTATGGAAACAGAAACACATTCTGTTCATACCATGGTTACTCATTTTTGTGAATGTTTCGTTGTGTTACTGCAACAGTAAACGCTGTGTCTACACCAGCAGTGTGTATTCCTAGCTTCGAGACAATGTGGTGCGACGACGAGTTACAGACACACACAACGGCTATGTTTCGAGTTTTGAGAACAAGAAACAACGTGTCCACACTGATAAAAATAAAATTGAGAAACAAAAAATGTTCACTAATGTTTGTATATTTCCTATGACCTTTGTCGCTAAATATGGAAACAAGCAACTTATAGGAACTTTTGTTTCTGCAACCGTAAACAATAAGGAACTGGAATAAACTTTTGGAAACATGAGAAAAAAGTTCCAGGAGTAAGCAAAATAAACACAATGTTCCTATATGTTGCTTTCGGTGTGGACGTAGCTTTAGAGCTGAGGTACAATATCTTATCTTAGTTAAGTGTGCATCAGTGCCAGCTGAAGCGCAAAGTGCAGGGCAAGCAGCAAAAGCACCAGAATACTTTATTGAACAAATAAACGTGCAGTTCACTTCATCGATGAAATGATAGCGATACGGACCTTCAGCAGGCACTAAGACTGATAGGCTAGACGTTACACCCTTGCCGTTCTTCATGTACTGGGGTATGAAGATGCCAAAAACGCCTCGCGTAATGAAAGGCAGCAACAAAATTAGGGGAGGGTATTTTCTAAGAGTTAGAGGCAATACTGAAGAAATATTGCGTGAAAAAATATCGCGATTCAAGACCTAGTAGACCAATAAAATGTTACAGCTGCGGCAGCGAAGGACATATAAGCAGCGTTCACTTATTTCAAAGTCTTCAAATTACGAGTGTCCATCAAACTGAATTATCAAATTCTCGTTGCCCAATGCACACTAAATTGTAGGAAATGTGATTTGACCATCGACACAAAGGCATCAAGCATCAAGATCAGTGGTACGCACCGACAAGAGGAGGACTCTTCACGTAGGAAATAAGCAGAACCAAACTGATAGTAGAGATGATAAACGCTAACATAGTAGATGCGTTTAAGTTAGGTGTAGATGTCTTAGAAAACTCCAATTTCTTATCTGTCGAAATTACCTGTCAAGTTAAAATTATTGTCAACGGTACACAAAGACCCTAGAGAAACAGCTACAACGCGTAACCACCAAGGTAGAGGAATTAACCAAAAACGTACAGAATGGAACTCTTGTGGCATACTCTCTAGTCAATACCTACCATGTTACTCCAGTGAGGGTAGCTAATCTTTCGACAAAGGAGAGGTCATCAGTAGAGGTACACCATCAGTTACCCTAGTAGTGAGATGCGGAAAGGAGAAACCCGTGTCAAATGCAGTCCATATATATTTAGAGATAATGAATTATTTCATAAATAGCTGGAGTTCTCAAGATCAAGGAAATAAAAAAGCCATTGATTTTGTGAAAAAGGAAGCTGGGCTGGAACTCTGTAACGGATAGAGATCGTTATCCCTATAGATATTAGATAGAGAAAATATATCTATTCGTTACAGAGTCCCAGCCCTGATGTCTTGGTGCAAGTAAAGATTACTGGGCGAACAATCAAACAATCCGCTAGAACATACATACAGGGAATTTCACATCTACTGTATCCTGGCTACAAAAAAAAGTGAACTTCTTTAACCCGAGAGTACACGCGTGTCGGTCAAAAAGACCGACCATTGATAAAATCAGTAATTACGCCACTGGTACAAGGGTGGCAGTTTTGTCCATCCAGGAATGCCTAATGCAGGATGGGTAGTGGAAAAACCCTTTGGCACAAAAATATTTTAGTTTCTGGTTGAAGTATAGTTAGTTGTTTTCATAGTAGGTGCTTTTGACCAGGCGCGGTTAAACATTTGATTTCTCCACGAGAAATAGAACCAGATCCAGAAAAATTCCAGACGATACGTGATAGGCTCAGACCAAAGAAGTAATAACAAACCTAAAGTAAGAAGCTTCCTAGGTTCTACAGCTACTACAGCGGGTTATTCAAGGTTTTTGGAAAGATTGCAAAGCCTATAAACCAACCAACTGAGAAAGCGCGCACTTTGAATGGTGCCAGAATTTCAAGTCTTTGGTGGAGCTGGAAAACCGATTGGCAGCGCTCCAGTTTCAGCATATATCAGGACTGTTTAAGTTAGATACCGACGCTTCGCGAAAGTGGAAAAGGATCTATTCTCTCCCAAGTGGCGAAAAACTCGACGTATAACGGATATTTCATCAAATCACAGGAAAATCCAGAAAGAAGTTATCGAGTCTCCCAGTAAAAAAAGCTACATAAAATTAAGGGAAGAAATTTACGTCGCTACTTTACCCGATGATTTCTAAAATTC